ACTACCAGTCAAATGTTTGGACACATCTACTCATTCAAGGTTTTTTATTTATTTATAAAATAAAAATACATTGTAGAATAATAGTGAAACATCAAAACTATGAAATAACATATGGAATCATGTAGTAACCAAAAAAGTGTTAAATCAAAATATATTTTATATTTGAGATTCCTCAAATAGCCACACTTTGCCTTGATGAAAGCTTTGTACACTCTTGTCTTTCTCTCAACCAGCTTCATAAGGTGGTCACCTGGAATTCATTTCAATTAACAGGTGTGCCTTCTTAAAAGTTAATTTGTGGAATTTCTTTCCTTCTTAATGCGTTGGAGCCAATCAGTTGTGTTGTGACAAGGTAGGGGTGGTATACAGAAGACAGCCCTATTTGGTAAAAGACCAAGTCCATATTATAGCAAAAACAGCTCAAATAAGCAAAGAGAAATGATAGTCCATCATTACTTTAAGACATGAAGGTCAGTCAATACAGAACATTTCAAGAACTTTGAAAGTTTCTTCAAGTGCAGTCGCAAAAACCATCAAGCGCTATGATGAAACTGCCTCTCATGAGGACCGCCACAGGAATGGAAGACCCAGAGCTAACTCTGCTGCAGAGGATAAGTTCATTACATAAGAGTTACCAGCATCAGAAATTGCAGCCCAAATAAATGCTTCACAGAGTTCAAGTAACAGACATCAACATCAACTGTTCAGAGGGGATTGTGTGAATCAGGCCTTCATGGTTGAATTGCTGCAAAGAAACCAATACTAAAGGACACCAATAAGAAGAAGAGACCTGATGGGGCCAAGAAACACGAGCAAGCAGCTAAATTTCAGATTTTTGGTTCAAACCGCGTGTCTTTGTGAGACGCGGTGTTGGTGAACAGATGATCTCCACGTGTAGTTCCCACCGTAAAGCATTTAGGAGGAGGTGTTATGGTGTGGGGGTGCTTTGCTGGTGACACTGATTTATTTAGAATTCAAGGCACACTTAACCAGCATGGCTACCACAGCATTCTGCAGCAATACGCCATCCCATCAGGTTTGGGCTTAGTTGGAATATCATTTGTTTTTTAACAGGACAATGACCCAACACACCTCCAGGCAGTGTAAGGGCTATTTTACCAAGAAGGAGAGTGATTGAGTGCTGCATCAGAAGACCTGGCCTCCACAATCCCCCGACCTCAACCCAATTGAGATGGTTTGGGATGAGTCGGATGGCAGAGTGAAGGAAAAGCAGCCAACAAGTGCTCTGCATATGTTGGAACTCCTTCAAGACCGTTGGAAAATCATTTCAGGTGAAGCTGGTTGAGAGAATGTGTGCAAAGCTGTCATCAAGGCAAAGGGTGGCTATTTGAATATAAAATATATTTTGATTTGTTTAACCCTTTTTTGGTTACTACATGATTCCATGTGTGTTATTTCATAATTTTGATGTCTTAACTATTATTCTGCAAACAATAAAAATAGTAAAAATAAATAGAAACCCTTGAATGAGTAGGTGTATCCAAACTTTTGACTGGTACTGTGTATGTATATGTGTGTATATACACTGCTCAAAAAAAATAAATGGAACACTTAAACAACACAATGTAAATCCAAGTCAATCACACTTCTGTGAAATCAAACTGTCCACTTAGGAAGCAACACTGATTGACAATACATTTCACATGCTGTTGTGCAAATGGAATAGACAACAGGTGGAAATTATAGGCAATTAGCAAGACACCCCCAATAAAGGACTGGTTTAGCAGGTGGTGACCACAGACCACTTCTCAGTTCCTATGCTTCCTGGCTGATGTTTTGGTCATTTTTGAATGCTGGCGGTGCTTTCACTCTAGTGGTAGCATGAGACGGAGTCTACAACCCACACAAGTGGCTCAGGTAGTGCAGCTCATCCAGGATGGCACATCAATGCGAGCTGTGGCAAGAAGGTTTGCTGTGTCTGTCAGCGTAGTGTCCAGAGCATGGAGGCGCTACCAGGAGACAGGCCAGTACATCAAGAGACGTGGAGGAGGCCGTAGGAGGGCAACAACCCAGCAGCAGGACCGCTACCTCCGCCTTTGTGCAAGGAGGAGCAGGAGGAGCACTGCCAGAGCCCTGCAAAATGACCTCCAGCAGGCCACAAATGTGCATGTGTCTGCTCAAACGGTCAGAAACAGACTCCATGAGGGTGGTATGAGGGCCCGACGTCCACAGGTGGGGGTTGTGCTTACAGCCCAACACCGTGCAGGACGTTTGGCATTTGCCAGAGAACACCAAGATTGGCAAATTCGCCACTGGCGCCCTGTGCTCTTCACAGATGAAAGCAGGTTCACACTGAGCACGTGACAGACGTGACAGAGTCTGGAGACGCCGTGGAGAACGTTCTGCTGTCTGCAACATCCTCCAGCATGACCGGTTTGGCGGTGGGTCAGTCATGGTGCGGGGTGGCATTTCTTTGGGGGGCCGCACAGCCCTCCATGTGCTCGCCAGAGGTAGCCTGACTGCCATTAGGTACCGAGATGAGATCCTCAGACCCCTTGTGAGACCATATGCTGGTGCGGTTGGCCCTGGGTTCCTCCTAATGCAAGACAATGCTAGACCTCATGTGGCTGGAGTGTGTCAGCAGTTCGTGCAAGAGGAAGGCATTGATGCGATGGACTGGCCCGCCCGTTCCCCAGACCTGAATCCAATTGAGCACATTTGGGACATCATGTCTCGCTCCATCCACCAACGCCACGTTGCACCACAGACTGTCCAGGAGTTGGCGGATGCTTTAGTCCAGGTCTGGGAGGAGATCCCTCAGGAGACCATCCGCCACCTCATCAGGAGCATGCACAGGCGTTGGTAGGGAGGTCATACAGGCACGTGGAGGCCACACACACTACTGAGCCTCATTTTGACTTGTTTTAAGGACATTACATCAAAGTTGGATCAGCCTGTAGTGTGGTTTTCCACTTAAATTTTGAGGGTGACTCCAAATCCAGACCTCCATGGGTTGATACATTTGATTTCCATTGATAATTTGTGTGATTTTGTTGTCAGCACATTCAACTATGCAAAGACAAAAGTATTTAATAAGATTATTTCATTCATTCAGATCTAGGATGTGTTATTTTAGTGTTCCCTTTATTTTTTTGAGCAGTGTATATTTATTAATTTCTCTACTATAAGCCGCCTCAATGTCGTTTTCGGGAATTTGGCAGTTCGTCCAACCGGCCTCACAACTGCCGACCACGTGTAATGTGTCGTATGGGCGAGCAGTTTGCTGATGTCAACGTTTTGAACAGAGTGCCCCATGGTGGTGGTGGGGTTATGGTATGGGCAGGCATAAGCTATGGACAACGAACACAACTGCATTTATAGCAATTTGAATGCACAGAGATACCGTGACGAGATCCTGAGGCCCATTGTCGTGCCATTCATCTGCCACCATCACCTCATGTTTCAGCATGATAACGCACAGCCCCATGTCACAAGGATCTGTACACAATTCCTGGAAGCTGAAAATGTCCCAGTTCTTTCATGGCCTGCATACTCACAAGACATGTCACCCATTGAGCATGTTTTTGATGCTCTGGATCGACGTGTACAACAGCGTGTTCCAGTTCCCGCCAATATCCAGTAACTTCGCACAGCCGTTGAAGAGGAGTGTGATGACATTCCACAGGACACTATCAACAGCCTGATCAACTCTATGCGATGGAGAGGTGTCACGCTGCATGTGGCAAATGGTGGTCACATCAGATACTGACTGGTTTTCTGATCCAAACCCATACCTCTTTTGTTAAGGTATCTGTGACCAACAGATACATATCTGTATTCCCAGTCATGTGAAATTCATAGATTAGGGCCTAACTTATTTATTTCAATTGATGGATTTCCTTATATGAACTGTAACTTATATACCTCCGCCTGGGGCGGCAGGTAGCTTAGTGGTTAAGAGCGTAGTGCCAGTAACCGAAAGGTCGCTGGTTCTAATCCCCGAGCCGACTAGGTGAAAAATCTGTCGATGTGCCCTTGAGCAAGGCACTTAACCCTAATTGCTCCTGTAAGTCGCTCTGGATAAGAGCGTCTGCTAAATGACTAAAATGTAAATGTAAAATCTTTGACATTGTTGCATGTTGCGTTTATATTTTTGTTCAGTATAGTAAAGCTGTTCCTGAAGCTACCATAATGGTGTCCGTCTCCTTATCAATACAACAGCTATGGGAATATCTGCCTCTTCAGGGTCTAAAATGGTTGATTTTGGCATTGCCAGGTAAGATGTCTATTTCACTAGCCATGTTGGCGGGTGGTCAGGGCTCCACCATGCAAGTATTTCACTTGCATTTGTGAAAGAAACAGTCAAGTATGATCACATTTATAGTAAAATAAATGCTGCAGTAGCTGTTTAAAGCATTTTCGCCGTTTTGTTTCATAGCTGATAAATTAAATTGCACAAAGTCAAAGAACTACGAATTCTATATAGCCTATTCCAACTCGGGCTGCAACACTACCTGGCTGGGGGCTGTGCACGCATGAAGAGCTGAGTGAAAGCTTCATTTTTAGAAGCGCTGTGCACAGGCATAAAAGTTGGTCTAATTTACTGAAGTGAGACTGTCCTTGTGTTTCTTGGCTATTTACATTGTTTTGATCACAAGCTAGGTTGAGTTTCAACTGCTAGGGAAGAGAAGACAATTCTACTAGTCAGACTCAATCTCACAGGCACAAACATCACTCGAGTCATGCTACCAAGGGAACCTCCAGCCGTTAAAGGGGTAGGTGAACCTTTTTACCTCATCTATGATATTTTGGTTAAAAGACTCCGGTCACAAAAAATGAAGAAAAAAAATATATACCACTTTTATGTGTAATTTTAGCACACACAAAAATTATTTTGCTGGTAAAAAATCTGAGTGGCTGGTAGATTTTAAATCTACCTGCCACAGTGGCTGGTGGACCAAAAAGTAAATTTTATGCCCTGTGCCTCTTACCTTCGTTTTGTAGTCCTTCATGTCCATGTGGTCTTGGTGGCGGTACTGGTTGCTGTTGGAGAGGGGAATGATGGGTATCGTGTAGATGGGCTTCACCAGAGCCCTCTGGGCCAGGGCCTCAGCCATCACCTCACTGCCATAATCAGGCATGCCGTTCCTGGGGAGGATACACGGAGAGAAATGGTTAGGACTCGGCGAAATACCTTTTTGGGTCAAAACGTTGCACAATAAAACTGCAGGAACATTCAACAGTGTGCAAGTAACCTTTTTTTTTTAAATGACTTCACTTTTTGTACTCTGCACCTGCAGGTTACTGGATACGAGCAGGATACACCATTTCAAATTAGAGAAAATGCCCAGAAAAGCACAGTGAAGGAAGTTGGCCACCTGACAAGCCTTTTAGCATAGGAGTGCAAAACATCTCCCATCAAAAATAGAATAATATCCCAATCTATCTCCAAGTAAAAATAAAACCATAGGAATACAGGGAGCGACCAGCGCAGGGCAGGCTGATAACAGGCGGAAATTGAAATGTCACTACAAATCAGAAGCACTACAAATCAGAAAGAAGTCTAATCTAAAGTCGCAGTGACAGCTACTTTCAGATGGAATCTATTCCATTCTAATAGGTCATATTTAGATAGGTTGATTCCCAAATGGCAGCCTATTGTCTGCATAATGCACTACTTTTGACCAGAGCCCAATGTGCCCTCTTCAAAAGTAGTGCACTATATTAGGGAATAGGGTGCCATTTGGAGTCCCAAATGGCAGCCTATTGTCTGCATAATGCACTACTTTTGACCAGAGCCAAATGTGCCCTCTTCAAAAGTAGTGCACTATATTAGGGAATAGGGTGGTGCCATTTGGGATTCACCAATAGACGGCTCCACAAGGGAACAGCAAGCCCCCCAAAATGTATTAAGAAATATTCTAATAAGGTGCCATTTGGGGGGGGACACCCAGCCTGCCCGGACTCCTAACTGAGTTTCCTTGGGTTAACAAACATCACAGGTTAAATCAACCAGACAGGCTAATACCCAAGCCAAAGATCCAAAATGGCCGGTGTGTCTAACAAAAACGGTATAATTAATAGTCTGCTACAGTCACGGAGAAAGTAACTGTTTCATTGATTTGGGGAAAAATTAATTCATAATCCACAACAGTAGAAAAATCCATAAACCAAATCACAGAGAGAAAAGGTGGGGGTTTGATTCCGGAGTTACCCATTCTTTCCTCACGGTGATGACCTTATCCTTCTCCCTCATTCATATGAATAAAACGTAAAAATATGAAAAAGTTCTCACCTCTTCTCTACAATCTCCAGGGTGAGGTGCAGCAGCTCTCTCTTGCTCTTCTCCCTCCTCTTGATCATCTCCAGAATGGTGACGGCTCGGCTCAGATCCCTCCGCAGTTTCAGCATCTTCTCATACCCAGCCTCGTCATTCTTACGGTTCTGCAGAGAAACAAGGTAGATGTTAACATCTATGTTGGTGCAGGAATAAATAATGGGAGCAGTATTTATGGAGGCATTTTCCTTCTTTAAAATATTAACTAGGTTCTCTGCTTTACTGTCACTTCCTGAGAATAGGTTATGGCTAAATGAAATCAACTTTTATTTTCCACATGCGCCGAATACAACAGGTGTAGACCTTACAGTGAAATGCTTACTTACAGCCCAACAACGCAGTTAAGAAAAGAAAAAAAAGTGTTATGTAAAAAATAAAAATAGAAAATAATTAAAGAGTAGCAGTAAAATAAAATAACAGTAGGGAGGCTATATACAGGGGGTACCGGTACAGGGTCAATGTGTGGGGGCACCAGTTTATCGAAGTAATATGTACATGTGGGTAGAGTTAAAGTGACTATGCATAGATAATAAATAGAGTAGCAGGAGCGTAAAAGAGGGGGTGTGGTGGAAAATGCAAATAGCCCGGGTAGCCATGATTAGCTGTTCAGGAGTCTTATGGCTTGGGGGTAGAAGCTGTTAAGAAGCCTTTTGGACCTAGACTTGGCCCGCTTGCCGTGCGGTAGCAGAGAGAACAGTCTGACTAGGATGGCTGGAGTCTTTGATAATTATTCGGGCCTTCCTCTGACACCGCCTGGTATAGAGGTCCTGGATGGCAGTATGCTTGGCCCCGGTGATGCACTGGGCCGTACACACTACCCTCTGAAGTGCATTGCGGTCGGAGGACGAGCAGTTGACATAAGGCGGTGATGCAACCAGTCAGGATGATCTCGATGGTGCAGCTGTATAACTTTTTGAGGGTCTGAGGACCCATGCCAAATCTTTTCAGTCACCTGAGGGGGAATAGGCTTTGTCGTGCCCTCTTCACGACTGTCTTGGTGTGTTTGGACCATGATACATTTGTTGGTGATGTGGACACCAAGGAACTTGAAGCTCTCAACCTGTTCCACTACAGCCCCGTTGATGAGAATGGGGGTGTGCTCAGTCCCCTTTTATTCCCCTGTAGTCCACAATCATCTCCTTTGTCTTGATCACGTTGAGGGAAAGGTTGTTATCCTGGCATCAAACGGCCAGGTCTCTGACCTCCTCCCTATAGGCTGTCTCATCGTTGTCGGTGATCAGGCCTACCACTGTTGTGTCGGCAAACTTAATGATGATGTTGGAGTCGTGCCTGGCCATGCAGTCATGGGTGAACAGGGAGTACAGGAGGGGACTGAGTACGCACCCCTGAGGGAACCCCGTGTTGAGGAACAGCGAGGCAGATGTGTTGTTACCTACCCTTACCACCTGGGGGGCGACCCGTCAGGAAGTCCAGGATCCAGTTGCAGAGGGAGGTGTTTAGTCTCAGGGTCCTTAGCTTAGTGATGAGCTTTGAGGGCACAATGATGTTGGAACGCTGAGCTGTAGTCAACGAATAGCATTCTCACGTACGTGTTCCTCTTGTCCAGGTGGGAAAGGGCAGCGTGGAGTGCAATAGCGATTGCATCATCTGTGGATCTGTTGGGGCGGTATGCAAATTGAGTGGGTCTAGGGTTTCTGGGATAATGGTGTTGATCTGAGCCATGACCAGCCTTTTTTGGGATCTATCGCATCCCACAACTGTCCCAGACTATGTTTGGAATATTTATTTCTCACACAGAATAGGTCAACTTTTGTACTATGGGGGATAGTAGATTGACCTAGGCTAGTGCTTTTGCTGTTCGTTAGGCCTACTCATCTTGTTGGCTGACGAAAAGTAAATGTGGACAGCTCTTCCAACATCTATATGCACCTCGGAATTGGATAAGGACACACGCAGATGCGTCCCCGATGTGTTGTCTTAACTTGTAGCCTGTGCGAAAGACCCGATGACGTGACTGAGAGCAGTGTGAGTGAGAGACGTTTCGGATTGCACAGCGCACTCCGGAAAAAGGGCACAATGTAGCACTCTGGGCAGCAAAAGGCATGGATTCTTTTAGGGTGCATTACGGCCACAAAGGGGATGCCGCAGTGAAATTCGAGGCATTATCAAGTGCTTGTCAAATTGTGAATGTGACTATTGGAGTGTGTACAGCCTGCGCAAAAAAACTAAGCAGAGCTCATGCCTTTCAAGCAACTTTTTTCTAAATCATTATAGTCTCATCATGCAGCCTTACAATGTATTAAACTAAAGTTACATTAAACTTAACTCTAAATGAAGCATATAGGAGTACCTATTTCTTTATTAACTGCTCAACACAGAATAACCGCATGTGCGCACTCCCTCAAATCATTCAGAGAAAATATTTATATTTTATTCACCTTTGTTCAATTGTATTCTTCATACTATAAAATAATGCCACGGAATTTAAAGCAAATCTTGTCTGCTAACTGCTGGGATTTAAAGCCAGAGAAGAGGCTGCTGCCCAAAGACAATGACCATTTCAGTAGACTGATTAATTATTGTACATTATCTAACTCTAGAGCAATCCTTGTACATATTGCACATGTTTAAAAACCACAAAGGGACAAATGTGAATTAAAAAAAAAATTGATGTACATGTGCGTATGACATTTGTTATGAAATGGATTCTAATGTGGTATAAATGTGCCTGTGCCAATTCTATTCAAAGTTGCTTCAGGCAATGATGGCTGGTTGGAGCTTCAGGCAATGATGGCTGGTTGGAGCTTCAGGCTCCTCAGCCTATTTAGGTCAGGAGCCTACAATTTCATTAATCGAACCTACTGTCATGGAGAACTCATGAGGTTGTGGGTTCGATTTCCACGGGGGGCCAGTATGAAAAAAAAATGTATGCACTCACTAACTGTAAGTCACTCTGGATAAGAGCGCCTGCTAAATGACTAAAATGTAAAATTAAATGAACTAGTGTAGCCCACAGCCATTTGGCATAGCCATATCAGGACCACTCAGAGTATGTTATTATTTTCTTCTGAAATAGACTACATTTTCTTCAGATCATACCATGACCAGCCTTTCAAAGCACTTCATGGCTACAGACGTGAGTGCTACGGGTCGGTAGTCATTTAGACAGGTTATCTTAGTGTTCTTGGGCACAGGAACTATGGTGGTCTGCTTGTAACATGTTGGTATTACAGACTCAGTCAGGGACATGTTGAAAATGTCAGTGAAGACACTTGCCAGTTGGTCAGCGCATGCTACACGTCCTGGTAATCTTTCAGTGAATGTTGACCTGCTTAAAAGTCTTACTCAGTGAATGTTGACCTGCTTAAAAGTCTTACTCAGTGAATGTTGACCTGCTTAAAAGTCTTACTCACATCGGCTACGGAGAGCGTGATCACAGTCATCCGGAACAGCTGATGCTCTCATGCATGCTTCAGTGTTGCTTGCCTCGAAGCGAGCATAGAAGTGACTTAGCTCATCTGGTAGGCTTGTGTCACTGGGCAGCTCGCGGCTGTGCTTCCCTTTGTAGTCTGTAATAGTTTGCAAGCCCTGCCACATCCGACGAGCGTCGGAGCACGAGTCAATCTTAGTCCTGTATTGACTCTTTGCCTGCTTGATGGTTCTTCGGATGGCATTGCGGGATTTCTTATAAGCTTCCGGGTTAGAGTCCCGCTCCTTGAAAGCGGCAGCTCTACCCTTTAGCTCAGTGCGGATGTTGCCTGTAATCCATGGCTTCTGGTTGGGGTATGTACGTACGGTCACTGTGGGGACGACGTCATCGATGCACTTATTGATGAAGCCAAATGACACACTAGTGAATACAGAAACGTGGGTAAGAACGTTCCCTCAACCCTGTCCTGGATCCCAATGTTATGTGAAAAGCCCCCCTTTCTGAAAGTGAAATGGTTTATTATACTTGCATGCAGCCCTTGTTTAGTCCCGTCATCCTACCTAGGTCGTGGCTCACCTTTCTGGTCTGCATCTTCTCAGTCCTCCTGCGGAAGGCCACGTAAGGGTCTGAGGTGCTGGATCCATCCCTCTTCTCCTGCTTCACCGTGGGGATGAGCGAGCCGCTCTTACAGTTTTTCCTCTTCCTGGTCCAGTAGTCAAACACCTCCTTGATCAGCTCGTCATCCTCCTTCAGCAGCAGCTTGGCCTCCTGCAGGCTCACCAGCTGAGGAGACAACACATTTAGTCACTTCTTTCTAGTACTCAATAATCCACCGCCTACCTAGGGCTGTTGCGGTGACCGTATTACCGTCACATCGGCAGCCACGAGTCATGAAGTCAGTCAAATTTCACATGACCGTTTAGTCACGGTAAATAGGTTTCTCCAAGCTCTGATGCTGCTGCTGATTATTAGTAGCCTACCAAACTTGCTAACTGCCTAGTACTTAGCACTATTGTCCCTCTAATCACTCTGACATCAATGCAAATGTATTTGAAAATTTTATCAAACACTTCATGAGAGCCCATGAGCTGTTGCGGCGCAACATTTCTATAGGGTATGAAATTGTGGGAGAAAACAGAGTGATGGTGGCTAATAAAAAGTGGATCCCATCAGCTTTCTATAGGCTAGGCCTACTATATTTATTTCTCAACTTTCCTAATATTAAGCACATTGCTTATATTTACAACAGGAGTATTGGCTACCTGGCTGGAATGAAAAGAAATCACGGGGAAAAGCGTCCTCCATTCTCTCAGTGCATAGATGACATGTATTTTTTCCCGCTGCCCCTGGTTCGATACAGGTGCATAATAATGGTCCAAACTAAATCAAAACAAATGTCACATATATTATATAGTAAAGATTAAATCAAGAATAGTCTGATGGGTGACAATATTAGCCTATCACTTGTGAATTATATTATCATCACTTGTGAATGATGCCCAGCATAAGAAATAATGCCTTTTCCCGCCCCACTTTTTCTAATCATAGTTGCACACCTCATGTTGCCTAGCCCATAGGCATATATGTTTTAATAAGGTTTGTATCACAACTAAAGTGGCAAAATAACTTCTTAAAATTAAGCACATTAATCCGCTTTAAAAGGGGTGTAGAGCTTAACTGGCATATATAAGCAGTGCATGAGTTTCATGTTTGGGTAAGATTATTTACCATAAAAATGCACCTTTATAATAAAAGCATTACATGCATAATTGCATTTGCGGTCACTTTTGATAATGGTGTTTTCCGCTAATGGAACATTCGCGCTTATAAGAAATAGCCTAATAGTTTATCAACATTTTAAGCTAAACTTTCTTATCTGTTGATGCTAGTGGTTGTATTAATTTGGGATCTATCGTATCCCACAACTGTCCCAGAATATGTTTGGAATATTTATTTCTCGCACAGAATAGGTCGACTTTTGTACTATGGGGGATAGTAGATTGACCTAGGCTAGTTAGGCCTACTCATCTTGTTGGCTGACAAAAAGTAAATGTGGACAGCTCTTCCAACATCTTCAATATGCACCTCGGAATTGGATAAGGACACGCACAGTTGCGTCCCCGTTGTGTCGTCTTAACTTGTAGCCTGTGAGAAAGACCCGATGACGTGACAGAGAGCAGTGTGAGTGAGAGACGTTTCGGATTGCACAGCACACTCAGGGAAAAGGGCACAACGCAGCACTCTGGGCCGCATTACGGCCACAAAGGGGATGCCGCCGTGAAATTCGAGGCATTATCAAGTGCTTGTGAAATTGTGAATGTGAGACTATTGGTGTGTACAGCCTGCACAAAAAAACAAAGCAGAGCTCATGCCTTTCAAGCAACTTTTTTCTAAATCATTATAATCTCATCATGCAGCCTTACAATGTATTAAATATCAAAACATATAGCCCAATGTTTGTAGAACAACTAAAGTTACATTAATAACTCTAAATTAAGCATATAGGAGTACCTATTTCTTTGTTAACCGCTCAACACAGAATAGCCGCATGTGCGCACTCCCTCAAATCATTCGGAGAAAATATTTATATTTTATTCAGCTTTGTTCAATTGTATTCATTTACATTTACATTTTAGTCATTTAGCAGACGCTCTTATCCAGAGCGACTTACAGGAGCAATTAAGGTTAAGTGCCTTGCTCAAGGGCACATCGACAGATTTTTCACCTAGTCGGCTCGGGGATTAGAACCAGCGACCTTTCGGTTACTGGCACAACGCTCTTACCCACTAAGCTACCTGCCGCTATAAAATAATGTATATTTTATAATGTATATTTTATGTATACTATAAAATAATGCCATGGAATTTAAAGCAAATCTTGTCTGCTAAATGAACTAGTGTAGCCCACAGCCATTTGGCATAGCCACATCAGGACTTAACATAAGGACAACTCAGTATGCTATTATTTTCTACATCAGGACCTAACATAAGGTCAACTCAGAGTATGCTATTCTTTTCTTCTGAAATAGACTACATTTTCTTCATATCATGCTTCTTTAGACCTGTCTAAAATAAATAATGGATGTATTGTGAAGGTGTAGGCTATACTACATGGATTTATTAGACTTTTTAAAAATGGCTTGTAGGCTGTGTGGAAGCCAGGAGATGCTAAATGTGTTTATGTTAATTAACGGTAAATTACCGTAAGACCGACAGTTATTTGCTTGACAATCACCGGCTGACTAAATTTTGTGTCCGCCACAGCCCTACGTCTACCCGTTCCACTTTTTTGATCAAATAAGCAGAATGGTAGTCGAGAAGAGGTTTGACAAACACTGGCCTATGTCCCATTTTCTGAGAGAAGTGCCTTTAGCATTGTGGTGTGGTTTGGTAAAGTACCTGCGTGCCACTGCCTTTCTCCAGCCGGTCGATCATCTCCTCAAACTGCACTGAGGTTATCTCCATCTTCTTCTTCAGCTTATTCACAAACACCTCATCCTCTGAATCCAGGTCGAAGTCCGGCTGCTCTGTATCCAAACTGAAAGCTGTGATAGAGAAGACAGGATGAAGTAAGAAATAACCAACATGTTTTTTTTAAATATATTTGTTTAGTTGGTAGATAAGCTTTAATATTAAAGATAGATTGTGGGATCTATCAAAGTATATATCTGCACCCTTTCCAATCCCCCATATATTTTGTATAAATATATATTATTTTAAATATATATTTTCCTTCTTTATTATTTCTCGCTAACCCTACCACCCCTCCCCTGCCCTAATTGGAGTAAACTAATGGACAATACACATAGGCTTCTACTTCCAGCTTATACATGCTATATACATTTTATTGACAGTATATTTTACATTAGTTATCTTTTATTTGTTTTTAGTCACAGCCTTCAGCTACCCTCAACTCCTCCCATCTATCTCTGAAGACCATCCAGTTTTGATTTCTATTTGCCATATCTTTTTCCACTGTGCTGTGATGTTTCGCAACAGTTCTGAACCTTTCCATTCTAATAGTTTCTACAGATGGTTAATTATATAAACATTTTTTGCTAAGACTATTATATTACTGATTGATTGACTAGGACTTTTCAAATCACCCAGCAATGCTATTTGCAGAGTTAGCTCCAAGCAAGTGTTATATTTTTTTGCCATACCTGAAACTGCGACAAGAACAAGCTATATATAGGCAGTACCTAAACAAGTGATCTAATGATTCTGTCTCTTCCCAGCAAAATCAGCAGAGCTGGGATGGTTGTATCCCCCATACATATACAATTCTATTGGTTGCAAGAATGTTGTATAATAATTTAAAATAAAAATAAAAAAACGTTTTGAATCTGGCGTTGTTTTGTGTATCAATTCATACACCATGTGCCATGGTATTGGTACCTCGAAAATCTCCTCCCAACTATTTTTGCAACCTGTATGGCGCAGCCATACATATGTGGGTCCTTCAATTAACCTGGTATACTTATTTATTTATCACAATTTTCTTTAGCCAATTTTGGTCTTTAATGCAGGGCCGACAGACAAGTCCATTACCTTCTCCCCTTTCCACTTGCCTCCTCCATTTTTGAGGTAATGCTGCAATCAGTTGGTTATCATTTTAGATAGAGCAGACATTTCCATATATTTTTGTTAACTGCATGTGTAACATAACTCCTCCAGTCCTATTTATGATATAATTTACAAAGAGCATTCAAAAATAATGTTATTTTTTATAAATTAGAATATTTGAGTTTAACCATAATATTTGTTCTAATATTTGTTCTGCCTTTTCTGGTGGATTAAACTGAAATTGCAACCAGCTTTCTATGGTTTGTTTTAAAAATAGCTATATTTTGGAGATTATTTCATTTTCAAATAACCAAAAGTGAGAGGTTATCTGAAAAGGGAAAAAGGCCATTCTTGAATACGGGGTGAGCCATTCTTAATAGTCTGCTAGAGAACCAGTTTGGATTTAAGTATAGTTTTTGTATGACTAAAGCCTTTAGTGAGAGGTCCAATGCTTTAATATTTAATAATTTCCAAATTCATATTCATTATATACAGTGCCTTTAGAAAGTATTCACACCGCTTGACTTTTTCCACATTTTGTGTTACAGTCCGAATTTTAAATTGATTAAATTAAGATGTTTTGGTCACTGGCCTACACACACAACCCCATAATGTCAAATTGGAATGATGTTTTTCAATTTTTTTCCCAATTAAACATTTTAAGCTGAAATGTATCGAGTCAATAAGTATTCAACCCCTTTGTCAAGGCAAGCCTAAATAAGTTCTGGAGTAAAGATTTGCTTAACAAGTCACATAGGTTGCATGGACTGTGTGCAATAATAGTGTTTAACATGATTTTGAATGACTGCCTCATCTCTGCACCCCACACATACAATTATCTGTAAGGTCCCTCAGTCGAACAGTGAATTTCAAACACAGATTCAACCACAAAGACCAGGGAGGTTTTCCAATGCCTCGTCAAAGGGCACCTATTGGTAGATGGGTAAAAAAAAGCAAACATTAAATATCCCTTTGAGCATTGTGAAGTTATTAATTAGACTTTGGATGGTATATCAATACACCCAGTCACTACAAAGATACAGGCGTCCTTCCTAACTCAGTTGCAGGAGAGGAAGGAAACTGCTCAGGGATTTCACCATGAGGCCAATGGGGACTTTAAAACAGTTACAGAGTTTAATGGCTGTGATAGGAGAAAACTGAGGATGGATTAACAACATTGTAGTTACTCCATTATACTAACCTAATTGACAGAGTGAAAAGAACAAAGCCTGTACAGAATAAAAAATATTCCAAAACATGCATCCTGTTTGCATTAAGGCACTTAAGTAATACTGCAAATTGTCCTGAAAACAAAGTGCTATGTTTAGGGCAAATCCAATACAACACATTACTGAGTACCACTTCCCATATTTTCAAGTATAGTGGTGGCTGTTATGGGTATGCTTGTAAATCGTTAAGGACTGGGGAGTTTTTCAGAATAAAAAAATAAATGGAGCTAAAACAGGCAATTTCCAAGAGGAAAACCTGATTCAGTCTACTTTCCAACAGACACTGGGAGATGTACCTTTCAGCAGGATAATAACCTTAAACACAAGGCCAAATCTACACTGGAGTTGCTTACCCAGAAGACAGTGAGTGTGGCCGAGTTACAGTTTTGACTTAAATTTACTTGAAAATCTATGGCAAAACCTGAAAATGGTTGTCTAGCAATGATCAACAACCAATTTTTGAAAAGAATAAATGGGCAAATGTCGCACAATCCAGATGTGGAAAACTCTTAGAGACTTACCCAGAAATACTCACAGCCTTAAATCGCTGCCAAAGGTGATTCTACAAAGTATTTACTCAGGGGAATGAATAATTATATAAATTAGATTTCTGTATTTCAATAAGTTTGCAAAAATTTCTAAAAACTTGTTTTTACTTTGTCATTATGGGTTATTGTGTGTAGATTGGTGAGAAAAATCCATTTTTAATTCAGGCTGTAACAACAAAATGTGGAATAAGTCAAGGGGTATGAATTCTGTCTGGCTTGCCTTTCCAAATAAAGTGGAATATTTTGTGCTCATTTAATTTTTTTAAACAAGTCGTTAGGCGTAGGCAGGGCCATAAGTAAATAGGTAAACTAGGATATGACTAAAGAATTAATCAGGGTGATTTTTCCCCAAATATACAGGTGTTGTCCTTTCCATGGTAGCAAAATCTTATCTAATTTGGCCAACTTTCTACACTGAAGAAAAATATAAACGCAACATGTAAAGTATTGGTCCCATGTTCCATGAGCTGAAATAAAAAAAATCCCTGACATTTTCCATATGCACAGAAAGCTTATTTCGCTCAAATTGTGTGAACAAATTTGTTTACATCCCTGTTAGTGCATATTTCTTATTTGCCAAGATAATCCATCCACCTGACAGGGTGGCATATCAAGAAGCTGATTAAACAGCATGATCATTACACATGTGCACCTTGTGCTGGGGACAATAAAAGGCCACTCTACAATGTGCAGTTTTTTCAAAACACAACGCCACAGATGTCTGGACATTACTGCAGTAATGTCCACCAGAGCTGTTGCCAAAGAATTTAATGTTAATTTCTCTACCACAAGCCGCCTCCAACGTAGTTTTAGAGAATTTGGCAGTACGTCCAACCACAGGCCACAATCAACAGCCTGATCAACTCTATGCGAAGGAGATGTGTCACGCTGCATGAAGCAAATGGTGGTCACACCAGATACTGACTGTTTTTTTTTGTTTTTTTTTAAAGGTATCTGTGACCAACAGATGCATATCTGTATTCCCAGTCATGTGAAATCCATAGATTAGGGCCTAATGACTTCATTTCAATTGACTGATTTCCTTATATGAAATTGTTGCATGTTGCGTTTATATTTTTGTTCAGTACATTTATAAATACTATACATAACTGTTGTATTTTGTTATTTACGGTAATCCGTAAATCTGTTTGTTAGTTAGTCTGTTAGTTCTCTTTTAGAGTTTGGTGTTCCATTCTTTCTGTGTTTAATCTCCACCATGTTTTGGTGTTGACTGCGTCGGTAGTATTTGTCTATAAAATTACAAACTGTTTTGCGTTATTATCCAGTTTGGATGATTTTGCCCAGGAGTGAGCAGATCAGCGTAAAAGTACATTAATTGATATGCTTTTTCACGAGGCATTCTGCACCGCCATCTTCAGTCCACCATACTCCTGCCCTGAAGCCCAAAAACATGCTGCAACACTTCCCAAGTAGTAGTGCTTCCCAAATGGCACCTTATTCCCTTTATGGTGCACTACTTTTGACCGGAGCACTAATTGACCGGCCCTAGTCAAAAGTAGTTTACTTAACAGTGAATAGGGGATACAGAAAGATGACCATGGGAACTCTGGTAAAAACACACGTCTCTATATTCAGCGCAGATCACAATCAGCAGCGTAATGCGGCCAACTCCAGAAATAGGCTAAGCTTGCAAAAAGTCTGCCCTCCCTTTTCCTTTGGTTCTACATGAAAGCCCCTTAGAAAAAACAGAGCCGACAGGAGTGTTTGTGAGCTGGGGCTGAGAGGGGGTCCCCTGGGCTTAGACTATTCAGACCCCCTGCCTAGTCTGTGCCCCTCTACTTCCCCATCTGTGCCGTCTCTCACTGTGCGAGTGTGCGCAAATGCTTTCAGACAGCAGGACACCTCTGGATCACACTGCTGCTATTAGAGACACCCCAGGGGCAGACAATCACTTAAAAAAGGTCCAATGCAGCCATTTTTATCTCAATATCAAATCATTTCTGGGTAACAATTAAGTACCTTACTGTGATTGTTTTCAATAAAAATTGTCAAAACAAACAAAAACAGCTTCTTAGCAAAGGGCAATTTCTCAAACAAGATTTTTGCTAGGACTGTCTGGGAGTGGTCTGAGTGGGAAGGCAAAAAAACTGAAAAAATGTGCAGAGGTTTGGAACGCTTTCTTATTGGTCTATTACGCCTAACTAATTTACAACATGGTGATGTCACCATGGAAGGCCAAAACTCCATCCCACCAAAACAGGCTGAAATTTCAGGTGCTCTTTTCAAACAACTCTTACACTAAAAGGGCATTAATTTCACAATTTCACAGTATTATTATTATTATTATTATTATTAGTGTGGAGATCTATACAGTGAGGGAAAAAAGTATTTGATCCCCTGCTGATTTTGTACGTTTGCCCACTGACAAAGACATGATCAGTCTATAATTTTAATGGTAGGTTTATTTGAACAGTGAGAGACAGAATAACAACAACAAAAATCCAGAAAATCGCATGTCAAAAATATTATACATTGATTTGCATTTTAATGAGGGAAATAAGTATTTGACCCCTCTGCAAAACATGACTTAGTACTTGGTGGCAAAACCCTTTTTGGCAATCACAGAGGTCAGACGTTTCATGTAGTTGGCCACCAGGTTTGCACACATCTCAGGAGGAATTTTGTCCCACTCCTCTTTGCAGATCTTCTCCAAGTCATTAAGGTTTCGAGCCTGACGTTTGGCAACTCGAACCTTCAGCTCCCTCCACAGATTTTCTATGGGATTAAGGTCTGGAGACCGGCTAGGCCACTCCAGGACCTTAATGTGCTTCTTCTTGAGCCACTCCTTTGTTGCCTTGGCCGTGTGTTTTGGGTCATTGTCATGCTGGAATACCCATCCACGACCCATTTTCAATGCCCTGGCTGAGGGAAGGAGGTTCTCACCCAAGATTTGACGGTACATGGCCCCGTCCATCGTCCCCTTGATGTGGTGAAGTTGTCCTGTCCGTTTAGCAGAAAAACACCCCCAAAGCATAATGTTTCCACCTCCATGTTTGACGGTGGGGATGGTGTTCTTGGGGTCATAAGCAGCATTCCTCCTCCTCCAAACACGGCGAGTTGAGTTGATGCCAAACAGCTCGATTTTGGTCTCATCTGACCACAACACTTTCACCCAGTTCTCCTCTGAATCATTCAGATGTTCATTGGCAAACTTCAGACAGGACTGTATATGTGCTTTTTTGAGCTGGGGGACCTTGCGGGCGCTGCAGGATTTCAGTCCTTCACGGCGTAGTGTGTTACCAATTATTTTCTTGGTGACTATGGTCCCAGCTGCCTTGAGATCATTGACAAGATCCTCCCGTGTAGTTCTGGGCTGATTCTTTACCGTTCTCATGATCATTGCAACTCCACGAGGTGAGATCTTGCATGGAGCCCCAGGCCGACGGAGATTGACAGTTCTTTTGTGTTTCTTCCATTTGCGAATAATCGCTGTTAACTGTTGTCACCTTCTCACCAAGCTGGTTGGCGATGATCTTGTAGCCCATTCCAGCCTTGTGTAGGTCTACAATCTTGTCCCTGACATCCTTGGAGAGCTCTTTGGTCTTGGCCATGGTGGAGAGTTTGGAATCTGATTGATTGATTGCTTCTGTGGACAGGTGTCTTTTATACAGGTAACAAACTGAGATTAGGAGCACTCCCTTTAAGAGTGTGCTCCTAATCTCAGCTCGTTACCTGTATAAAAAGACACCTGGGAGCCAGAAATCTTTCTGATTGAGAGAGGGTCAAATACTTATTTCCCTCATTAAATTGCAAATCAATTTATAAATATTTTTGACATGCGTTTTTCTGGATTTTTGTGTAGTCATTCTGTCTATCACTGTTCAAATAAACCTACCATTAAAATTATAGACTGATCATTTCTTTGTCAGTGGGCAAACGTACAAAATCAGCAGGGGATCAAATACTTTTTTCCCTCACTGTATATATATACTTTTTTTTAACACAGGAAAAACACATTTGGACTGCACTGGGGCTTTAAACATACCTCAGACAGAGCACACAAGCACTGAAAACTCACAAACACACACACAGCAACATGAACACAAACTGCAGAATGTGCACACCCGCCAGGCTCACTCAAGAGAAGAAAAACAAACATCTGCCGACTGACCAAAGAGACAGACAGAGAGCTAACAGACACAGCAGAAAAACAAAGAGCGCTGACAAACAGGCTACATGAACAGTAATACTCCTCACGCTGTATGTGAATAAGCTGCTTTGGCATCTTGAAGTCCCCAGGGTAGAGGGACTCGTAGTAGGCGATGTTGCTCCCTGCTTCGGGGACGGGGATGACCATGTTGTCCCGTTTCTCCCCATACACCTGCTGTGCCGAGATAGCCCGCTGGAGATGGTGCTCCTGTGGGGGAGGAAGATAAAGGAGAGGTCAGTGGGCCTACAACAACACAGTCAGGGTGGGAAATTAACTTTTTGGTCCACCTGCCACTGTGGCAGGTACATAAAAATAATAATTATACATAGCCTAATTACACCAAAAATAGACATGTATTAATAGTAAGTAGTAATGGGGTATAACTGCTTAATTTCATTTTTGTGACCTAAGTCTTTTAAACAATATGTTAAAATAAATCATTTAGATCCAATAATAAAAACAGAAACAGATCTACAACTGAACATCAAGAATCAACAAAGTGCCTGTCCTGCCACAAAATGCTGCTTATTTATTATTATAGTTCAGGGCTCTACGCCGACATTTCTTACAAGGAGTACATGATGTGCTCCTAAGTAGAAATGCAGAAGCACACAAATAAAATATAGGAGAACGATGACTAAAAGTTCATGAATAAACGTTTTAGGTGAGACAAACACTCAGCTGGCCCTTTGAGGGATGGGCCGTTATTGTGGAAACTTGGGCACTAGCTTGTCTGTGATTTTAAAAAAAATCTGAATGTGATATCAAACTAACATTGAAAAACAACCTAGTGTGTGAACAAAACGCTCAAATTGGAAAAGTGCCAACCATAAAGCAGTCTCTGTGTAGGCTAACCCAGTGTTTCCCAATCCGGTCCTTAAGCCCACCCCAGCAATTCCACATATAGGCTTACACCACCGACTCTATCCAGCATTAGGTCCAGTGTCCACATCCACAGTACTCATCCAATTTTAATTCACATTACGGGGAAATCAATTCAGGAGAATTCGAGGTCGGACGTTCAGCATCATTACCTCTGTAGCTCAGCTGGTAGAGCACGGCGCTTGTAACGCCAAGGTAGTGGGTTCGATCCCCGGGACCACCCATACACAAAAAAAAAATGCATGCACGCATGACTGTAAGTCGCTTTGGATAAAAGCGTCTGCTAAATGGCATATTATTATTATATTATAACAATATCAGCACAGGTGAGTATCAACTTTGGGATACGTGTACACACACTCAAGTTATTAGGTCGGTTGAGAAACTAGATAGAAATATAGTCGGGCTGTCCCAGACTAAAGAAGAACTTGGTCTACCGAGAGTCTGTTCTTTCGACTAATCGATAGGTTGACATTTTTTCCATTTTTATGTTTGAATAAAATCAACTATATGTAGGCTACTTTAGCCCTATTCGCACGGGACTAGTATTACTACAAAACGTTGATTATGTAATTATCACCCCAGCATGTCAGTTTTTCCATTGGACGATTTGGGCAGAATTAGTTTTACCAAACTACCCCTGTAAATAAATAAAAATCCTCATTCAAAATTGACCGTTATGACGCAAGCCTGGAGGCTCTTCTACGCGATGACATTTCAAATGTTTAGGGATAGCCTAATATTGGCCTAACATCCTTAAGTTTGGAGAAAGTCAAAATAATAATGCATATCAGTAAGAACCATGAACTGTAACCTACGCAGACATTTAACTACCTGACGTATTTGTCAATTTATCAATTCATTGGCACAATATCGCCCACTTCATCTTATAAAAGAGTATGGCACTAGGAAAGTTGATATGTGACAAAACAGTTCCTTCTTCTGTAGGCCATGTGCATAGCACTTTGTTTTTTAAGCATACATTTGTTCCTGATGCTTTAAGCACTGCAATAAAAAATGAACACACAAATTACTAAAAAGAGGGACCAGAAATCAATATAGCCTAACCAGAAGAGCAAAAAAAACTGTTCCCGACCCGACCCCCCTCCTCCCGCTGCCCTTTGCAGATTCTGCCATTATGCTCCTGGAGTTGCTGGTAATAGGCTACCTTTTCCATTTGGAGTGCCAAGTTATCGTACCATTTCTACTGATCTGCGTGCCAGTTATAATTTTGGTGGAACTGTTTCATTTAATTTATAATAGTCTTCATATCTCAAAATCAATGTCATGTGGTTTTAATCAAAAGTCTATCTATTGCCATAATGTAAAAATAGCCTACATAAAGCCAACAAATAAAAACATTACGGCCCACAGGTTGAAAATATCCTGATAACAATAAATATCCTATAAAATCACATTGGCTATGCAATGGCCTGTCTGAAAAGGAACTTGACACATTGTATCAACTATTAACTTGGGTCCAGCCGAAGCTTGCACTAAAGAATTTGCAACATTGTATAAAATATTCTGGGCCCTCAGAGTTTCCTGGCCCAGTGAGCTCCTGACAGAGACACAGCTATATGCTATTTGCGCAAGGGACAAGTAGTAATCAGGTAGGCCTTTATGAGATTTCCACCAGATCAGAGCATGACATTTTCTGAGTGGTTATCGAAAGGGAGAGAGCTGGAAATATATTTTTCAAATAGGCTACATTGAGGAACTATTGTCATTCTCAATGGATGTAAAAACAGACTTCTTTTGCTTGCTTTTTGAGGCGAAGAAAAAAATACTTTGAGAAGCTCCACAGTGATGGTGAGTTAAAACAATCAGAAATAGTATCAGATCCCGAAATGGGCACAATTATAAGCCTACATTTGCGTGCAGGCCAGGTAGCCTAGGCCTAGCATAATCGAGTGCGTGTCCTTACTCAAGATTGACAGGAGTGCTCCAAACAAAAGACAATTAATAAATTGACAACTTGTTGCCTAGGTTGTGTGCTCTGCAAACAACATGTCCACTCCTACAATGACAACGGTAAGACTAATAATGATTTGAATGCATTAACAGAAATTACCATAACCAAACAAACATTGTAGATGAGAAATTATGGTAATTAAAAAGGTACATGTACTACTGGTGTGCAATCCCCGCAATCGATTAGCCCACTCAGACAGGCGTCTCATGTGCCATAACAATTATTATTTTTTACATATATTTGCCACTAGAATCGACCAGTCGACTAAATGGGGTCAGCCCTAATACACAGTGTACAAAACTATGCTCTTTCCATGACAGACTGACCAGATGAATGCTATGATCCAATATTGAGGTCACTTGTTAAATCCACTTAAAATCAGTGTAGAGGAGGAGACAGGTTAAATGATTTTTAAGCCTTGAGAGAATGAAGACAAGGATTGTGTATTTGAATGGGGTATGGTAGTAGGTGCCAGGTGCACCGGTTTGTGTCAAGAACTGAAACGCTGCTGGGTTTTCACGCTCAACAGTTTCCGGTGTGTACAAAGAACGGTCCACCACCCAAAGGACATCCAGCTAACCAACTCTGGGAAGCATTGGTCAACATGGGCCAGCATCCGTGTGGAACGCTTTCGACACCTTGTAGAGTCCATGCCCTGACGAATTGAGGCTGTTCTGAGGGCAAAAGGGAGTGTAACTCAACAGTAGAAAAGAGTTCTTCATGTTTTGTACACTCAGTGTATAACATGATAAAATGCATTCAAAATAGGTCTTTATTTGCTATTGGCCTATTATCCAAAAAGCATTTCATATCAATTAAAAATAACTGCCATCAAATTGTCCTCCTGCCGCACTAGCCTTTCGCTCCATGGAAGTCAACATGCCAATGTCATTTCATTTGCAGAGAGCAAGCAGATAGACTATTCAATAAATTTGGGTCCGCCTGTATTTCTGGTTAACTATGAGAACATTTCACACTGTGTAGGCATGTCCAATTCAGAGGAAAGCCATGATTGAGCTTGCGCATCCATCTACCTTGGTGCTTTAGACTAAGCAGAATCAAGACTTGTAACAGTTATACAAATCTCTAATACATAATGAATTGGCAAGGTGCCAACCAACAGGACAGAGCAACAATAACTTCAAGAGGTAATCAACACACATAATTTAGCCTACCCAAATGATAAAATCCATGACTCCGCAACAAACTGCCTTAGTCAGGAGTTTAAGGCAGCCCGCTGCCGAAAAGTTAATGTTGTTTATCTTTTAGAACAAACGATGTGCATCAGAGCAAGACTGAACATCCTCTTACAACTACAACATTAACAGAGAGAAACTAGTATCTGAAGCTAGTCTACAAACAGGCCAGTCTAAGGTCTTCCTTCTCTTAGCAGTTGAAGCAAATCATGATGCAACACCCAGCTCACATTCCCTACAATGCAAGATTAATCAAATTCAGATCGAAATTGTGATATTGACAAGTGCAATATCCATAAATCGTAGGAGGCTGCGATTTTCTCCTATTTTTGACACTCCATTAATCCAACAAAAACCTAGACTTACGGTACCTCCTCCAATGAGATGCGCTAGATTCCATTCATTCACTCTCCATATAACAAGCAGGCTCTCTCACTCTGCATGGTATGCACATGCTGGTCAATCACAAACGTCCCCGCTTAGACTGCGCAGTTAGATGCTGGTGAGGAGAGAAAGGGCTTTACCTCACTAAACCACGGAAACATGAACGCTGCGAGTGCTAACGAGATCGATTTGGTGCCAAAGAACGGCGTCTTCAGTGGTATGGCAGTATTTCTGCTACAGGCAAACCAATATCAACCAAATGCAAGTGTTGTGCAAAAAGTGCTTCAGTGTTGTGGCGACAAAAGTATTTAAATCATTTGAAGAACCATCCCCTACTTTACGACAATTGCAAGATGAAAAAAGCTCCCGACAGCAGCAAAGTGCCTCAGCCACCTATGTTAAAACAGGCATTGATTGCTGATGTGTTTTCAAAATGCCCTACGAAAAAACATCCCACAGACACATAGAAATCACAGAGGCTATCACCTACCACATAGCCAAAAACATGGCTCCTATTTACAGTCAGCAAAGACGGCTTCAAGAAGATAAACAAGCTGGTCAGGAGATACAAGATTCCATCTCGCACATATTTCTCTCAAGTCGCCATCTGTATAACAACATTTTTAAGGAGAAGTTGAAACCGAGCTCACGCGTTGATTACACGCCTACAACAGACCTTTGGTTTAGAAGATCAACAGTAGGATACTTTAGTTTGACAGTACACTTTATTGATG